CTCTCAGGTAGGTACTATTATTGGCTCCATTATATAGATAAGAAAACTGAGGCTAATTTAAATTGCCTAAAGTTATAGAGCTGGGAAGTGGCAGAACCAGGATCCAAACCCATGTACATTGGTTCCAGAGCCTATGGTCTGAAACTATTATATCTCTGGACATCAATGTGTATGTGGCCTAAAGTGGATGAAAAAGATATCAGAAACTGAGAAACTAGTTAGCAGGCTGTTATAATCATATAAATACACCAAATCAAGATGATAATGGGAAACTAAAAAGCAGAGAGAAAAGGAGGAAGAAACAGCAAAGAATCAGCCCCTGCTAAGTGACTAAGAAATGAAGGGACAAGAATTTAAAACTACTAAGGGGCCATTATAAGATGAAAAACTGTACGTTAATGTTTAGGAGGATATGTGGTAGAATAGAAATAACAAAGGACTATGAGTCAGAAAAATCTCAGTTCTAGTCTCAGCTCTTTTACTAAACTGTCATTTTATTTTGGGCAATTTCTTAACTGTTCTGGGCTTCAGTTTTCTCATCTTGTAAAAAGGAATAACAAAAGCCAATCTGCTTACCTGCACAGTTCGTTACTTTGAATTTTCAATAACACTGGTATAACAATTTTTAACTTATACTTTCACACAAATTGTAGGAATAGGACTTTATACAAGCGTAAGGTGTATTACTGCTTTAGACATTCAAAGCTGAATATCGTCCTTAACAATGAAGCAGTAATTCCCAGAAAGCAGTTGAAGACATGGTCAAAAATCTAGAGAAACAGATATAGCAGTTATTAGTACAAGAGTAACAGTTAAATCCACGAATAGGTAAGTCTCCGAGAGAGAGTATATAAAGACAGAAGAAAGGCAGCTCTGACAGTTTAGTCAGAAAGTGAGAAAACTACCAAAACCCAAACTTCCAAATGGTTTCAAAACTTTCTTCAATAACCAACAAGTAGCCATGAAACCCTTCTTATGTTGGGTTTATTTCAGAATATAAAGCTCATTATTTCCCCCCAAATCTTTATTTTTTCCCAACAAAGGTCATATGTACAATTTTCTCTATACTCACAGTCAAAAAATAAATAAATAAAACAAACAGAACCCACATTAAGCTCTGATGATAACTGACATAAATTCACTTTTCAATTCAATTAAAGATGATAATTTAAAAGAAAAAATGACTGCCTTTTATGAAGGTTTGGGATGGCGACAGGCCTTAGGAAAGTTCCACCCACATCAAAGATATACCTACACTCAAACAATCCTGACACAATACAAGCAAACCTTCAGTTCTTAGAGGAATTCTTCTAAATCTAAATATAACATGTGCGTGTAAAACTTATTGAAGTCATTGCTGGTGGCAGAGTAGTCCACAGTTTTCCAAGTGGTAACTCAACTCTGACATTCATGAAGACATTTTCCCTGTGCTTCAAACTGAAGTTTCAACTATTCTGTGCCCACAATGATGTACACATTCAGATAAATTGACATTTTTGTCCCTTAGCTGAGATCTCTAGGACACAAGTGGCAAGCAAATATCATCAGGTTGGTTTACTTTCATTTATGGCCCTCCCTGTCATAGACAGATTTTCATTACAATAATAACTAGTACGTCTAAAACAAAATCCTCAGGTTCTCAGCCTACAGAATTTCAAACCAATGAGGGAAGGACAAACTGAAATTTAGTAAAAAGGAACTGTGATAACCAGGTAATTATTTGGAAAGAAAGAGCTTTACAACCCATCTGAAAGCAGTAGTTTTCCTCTTCAGTCCTCTCTCTCAACTCATGGCTGTGAGTCCAGCCCATATCAACCTTTATTGAAATTGAGTAGCTCCTTAAAGGGATTAAAGGAATAAAAGAAATGCCTTATTGCAGAGGTCTCTAACAGGTTGCCCATGGCTCAAATTTAGTCATTAGATGTGTTTTTGTCTGCCTAGCAATATATTTTTTAAAACGTGATTTAGCTTCATACATTTTTTTTTTAGCTTCACACATGAGACACTGGACTCATATTTCCTCATGGCCATAGGCTAGGGCTGAGTAGTGCTGCCCCTTTAAATAGGTTTTTCCTCACATTCAACCCACTTCACTCATCTATGTTACCTGCCTAGAACTTCTAGACGTGTGCCCCTCCTTAATCAAAGAGATTAAAATGATAGCCTTAAATTAGGAGAAAAGAATTCAAAAACTATAGAACTGAGTCTAAAGTATTACTGTGAATAGAAATTTAAAAGGGGATAGTCATGGTTAAGATGGGGCTGTTTATCGAATACTGAAGCTGGTATTTTAATGTCCTCTCATTTATCATATAAACAAGGATATATTATGTTTCACTGATATAGTCTTCTGCTCCTGCCTCTATTATTGTTGTTGGTCTTTTTGTTGATACTGTTTTTTAACCACCCAGGGGAGATCAAGGCTCCCTGGAGGTATTTATGTGTTTGTTTGTTTGTTTATTTTTTGGTGAGGAAGATTGGCCCTGAGTTAACATCTGCTGCCAATCTTCCTCTGTTTTATATGTGGGATGCTGCTATAGCATGGCTCTATGAGCAGTGTGTAGGTCCACGCCTGGGATCCGAACCTGCAAACCCCAGGCCACCGAAGTTAAGCATGTGAACTCAACCACTACGCCCCTGTGTCGGCCCCTATTATTGTTTTGAAATATATATTGATAGCTGACAGGGGAACTCTAGCCTTCCTGTTCTTTTAAAAAGTTATCTTTGATATTTATCCTTCTACATTAAATCCTATTGAGATTTTGACTGGGATTAGAACGAATTTACAAATTACATATTGGGAAAGAATCGTATTTTTAACAATACCAAATGTTTCCCTTCAAAATGGTATACATATTACCTCTTCATTTATCCAGACCTGCTTTAATAGCTTTTAGCAAAGTTTAAAATTTTTCTTCAAAAAAGCTTTACCTACTTATTACATTTATTCTTGGTTAGAGTTTCTCTTATTTTGAGGGGCAATACTTTTTGTTGGAAAAGGAATCTTTTCTTCTGATTACATTTTTTTAATTGGTTACTGCTAGCATACAGAGGAAAGCTACTGATTTTGTATGTTGAACCTGACTGGCTATTTAACAGAACTCTTTCATTAGTTGATTCTATGTAGGCCAGGGTGGCAAACTATGAACCTCAGGCCAAATCGGGCCTGCTGCCTCTTTCTATAAGCAAAGTTTTATTGGAACAGTCACAGCCACTTGTTTATATATTGTCTATGGCTGCTTTCATGCTAGAAAGGCAAAGTCAAGTAGTGGTGACAGAGATCCTATGGTCTGCACAGCCTAAAACACCTACCATCTGGCCCTTTACAGAAAAAGGCTGCCCACCCCTAACGTAGACAATCATATTATCTGCAAATAATGACAATTCTGTCTCTTCTAACTGCATTCTTATTTATTTAGAAATAAATGGGATCTCTAGCGTTAAGGGGGAATATTAATGACAATAGATGGCATCCATGACTTGGAATGCTTTTATTGTTTCACCATTAAGTCTGACGTTTATTACAGGTTTCTGAAGATACCCTTCATTGAGTTAAGAACATTTTCAGAGATTAAAATTTTAATTTAAAGGACTGTAACTTTATTCTGAGATTATGTTCTTTCCACCTTTTTCTATGAAATAGTAATACAAAGTGGTTGTTTTAAAAACTATCTTTACATGGTAAAATAAAAGCTGACAACCGTATATTAATCCATGAACTAGGCCATGAAATCTGTCTAGGAAACACTAGGTTAAGTTTTAAAGAGACTATAATGATATCACAGCAGACACTCTAAGTGAAATCATCCAGTATACTGCTTTTCTTACTCAAAATTATACTGGGTTTATATATGTAAAGAGGCAGCACAGATTAGTGGTTAAGTGGCAAAGAACACAGGCTTTGGGGTCTAGACAAACTTGGGTGAGAATTCTGCCTACCCATCCCCTACCCTGCCCCACGTAGCTATGAGAATTTAGGCAAGCTACTAAATCTCTCTAAACCACAGTTTCCTCTTCCTCAAAATAGGGATAATAGTAGTAACCACTTTGTAAAGTTGTTCTCTGGATTAAATGACTTAAAGCACACAAAGCACTTTGTATAGTATCTGGTCAATTATGAGTGTTCAATAAATGTTAGGTATTGTTATGGTTATTACTTTATGTATTTCTTGATGTGTATAAATCTTTATCACTTAGTACATTCAATGAGGACCATATTTTAATCTTTTGTAATACCAAAGTAGAAATCCCAAGTTAACAATCAAAAGGAGGGAACAAGGATCATTCAGTTCTGACCGGGTTAATACTAACAAATGAGTCAATAATATACAACATTCATATATTTATATAAATATATAATATTATGCTAATAATATATAATTTGAGGAAACATTTAGCTATTTTGATTGTTCCATATAATTGTTTATCCTCCAATTGTGTGTGTGTTTCTTGCACCAAACAACTTACAAATATGGATGAAACACAAGGAAAGCACTATTAATACAGAGCAAAAATAAGATCAAATATAAGTGTTCCATGCACTTTGGCAAATGATGGATACAATTTTGCTAAGAATGGAACAAATCGATAAGGAGTTGGGAACAAAGATTTCCATTTTTCTTTAATTATACAGCTTTCCTGGAGGGGGCAAGATTTCAGGAAGACTCTGAAAGAACAAAGGAAATGTGTAAAAAACACAAAAACAGAAGAAGAGGTGTAAGGCAGTACAGCCAGAGAGTATGATCAGGAGATACATATGGTCAAGTTAGAAGAGAAGAGACAGAGAGTAAATAACAGACAAGCTTTCAAAAAGGGAAGAAAGGGTTTTTAAAAGACAAATGTGTGTATTAGCAGGAAAGTTACAATGAACAATTTGGGCAAAATATCCTTGGATCTTCAAGCATGTGCAACTATTACAGTTCTTACTAATGGATAAAAGGGGAACTAAAATTCTAAATTTTGTAAGTTTAGATCCCAAAGAGCCGTAAGAATTTACTCACTTCACTAGAGCAGCTGCTTCAGGAAGCACATCAGCAAACGATTCACGAAATACGATGGCATTTTTCCTTTTGCAGTTCTGTATGACATCGTTGGCAAGGTAAAAGAGATTCAAACGGTGGGGATAGGCAGCTGGAGATGATAAAAGACAATAAATAAAACCAAGTGAGTCAACTTATACTTGGTTCAACTTATTCCAAATACAGCGTTCTCAAACTATGTAACTGCCATTACATGGATGGATAGACGGATAAACAGACAAACAAACTAACGGGTCAATTTACTGAACTTAGTTTCTAAAAACCTTGACTGCTTCAGGTTAACTTTCTGTTCAAGGTACTCCTTGAGTAGATTTCTACTTCACTTTGTAGATGTGTGGCAGTAAAAAACTCATTTACTCTGGAGAAGCTACAATAAAACAAGATTGTTCTCCCAAACATTTAGAAAGATAAAAAAATTAGTTGAAGCAGCTCAACTTGTTGCAAAAACACCACGGTTAGTGGAAAGAACACAGGCTTTAGAACCCAATCAGAATGTGACCTTAAGCAAATTGGTTAACCTCCTCTACATAATTACTGTAGATAGCTTCTTTTCATCAACTAGTCCAGACACCACTTAGTTACACCTAAGTCCTCTCACCTACTGAAAAAGAGGCTCTGTTGCTACTTTCATCACAAGGTGAATGTCCTAGGAAATAAGTAATCTGCTCCCATAAACACACCTACATCAACGTTTTCAAAGGCCCATGACAAGGCCCAATAAATTTACGATCTTGAACCTTGAGCTAAGTCACCCAAGTTTGAAGTTTCATTATTATCCTGGTCAATGTTAATGTCCATGTAGATGATCTATCACATTTTCCTGTCTCTCAATTTCTTCATGTCAAATTCAGCGATCTACAAGAACCACTCCTTTGTATATTTTATTTTATTTTTTTAAAGATTTTACTTTTCCTTTTTCTCCCCAAAGCCCCCCAGTATATACTTGTACATTTTTTTTAGTTGTGGGTTCTTCTTTGTGGCATATGAGATGCTGCCTCAGCATGGCTTGATGAGCAGTGCCATGTCCGTGGCCAGGATCCAAACCAGTGAAACCCTGGGCCGCCGAAGCAGAGCGAGCAAACTTAAGCACTGGCCATGGGGCCCGCCCCTCCTTTGTGCATTTTAAAATCCCCTTTTCTGACCATTACGTTCCATTCCCATTATATTTGTTCTTCAATTTCAACAAGATCTCAGTTCTTTCTCTCTCACTCTACAGTCTCTTCCAGTACTAAATTCTTTATCAATTTCAGAGTCTTTGATCCATTATTTAAACCACTCTTTTATCAAAACCTTCATTTTCTTTTCCTCTTCCTCCTTAATTTAGCCTTTTGTTATGTGCATTCAACAAAATCCTAATGCCGGATCAATCTAACTGAATGCCTTTACTGCACCTTTATTTCTGCTCCTGGGTTCTGCTGAAGAAAAATCATACACCAGGAAAACTGAAACCATATAAATTCAGTCTCCTCCTTCAGTTGGGCCCTTACTGCTACGGTCCTTCCACATGTCCTTTATTAGGGTAAGCCCCCTATCTTACCAGATTCCTTCTCACTCTTAGGAGATAAACATATGCTATTTCACAGAGAAAGCAGCAATCATTAGTTAGGAATTATGTGATCTCAAAAAAATGTATCCATATTTAAACCCATCCAGATCAACTTACCTGAGTCAGCTAAAACCTTTCAGATTCAGGGATCTGAAAGAGTTTCATATACTCACTGCCTCCACTTTAACTCTTACTAACTCCATAATTATACGAGCTACCTTTTCCTTCTCTACTTAAAAAAGGCAACCTACTATGCTAAGAGCTTTATATAAATTATGCTATCTCATTTATGTTGCCATCACTCCACTCAAACAGCAATTACCAAAATTATCAATAAATTTCAACTTATTAAATCCAATGGAGATTTTTTAAAATGTTATTTCTTTGCACACAGAATAATCTGTTATAGTAATTTCTCCTTTGGTTTCTGCCATAACCATTCTCCTGGTTTTCCTCCTACCTCTCTGGCTCCTCCTCCATCCATATACAGCTGGGCATGTATAGGTAAACAGCTCTGCCTGTGATTATCCTCCTTTAAATATTGATGCTCCCCAGGGTTCTCTCCTGAGCACTCTTCTCTATTCACCCACAGCATAGTCTTTAAGATTTCAGGTTTTAAATCAGATAGTCTGTTCCATTCCTGGCTTTGTCACTTATTAACTTTGGGTTTTTATACATTACTTAACTCTTCTATATGTCACTTTCTTTTTCTTTGTAAAATGACAACCTTACAAAGGGCTGTTATAAGAATTAAATGAAACAATGTATGTAAAGCATTTAGGACAATACTTAGCACACAGAGAATGGAATACTATCAGCATAATCATCAACTTCCATGGCTTTAACTACTACCATCTATGTATCAATGACTCCCATATCCAAAGATATCAAGCCTGGATTTCCCTTTACCAGTCAATGCACATATGCACTTCTAAATCTGAGAGGTACCTTGAAATTGATTTTTCAGTATTTTATTAATAATTTTCAGGGGCCAGCGCCGTGGCTGAGTGGTTAAGTTTGCGTGCTCTGCTGCAGCGACCCAGGGTTTCGCTGATTCGGATCCTGGGTGTGGACATGGCACCGCTTGTCAGGCCACAGTTAGCAGGCATCCCACATGCCACAACTAGAAGGACCCACAACTAAGATATACAGCTATGTGTCGGGGGGATCTGGGGAGATACAGCAGGGAAAAAAAAAAAAAAAAAAGATTGGCAACAGTTGTTAGCTTAGGTGCCAATCTTTAAAAAGAAAAAATAATAATAATAATTTCCCACCTCTTCCCTTATTGCTCTTGTATTTAGCCAGAATTTTAGCAATCTTTGACTCCTCCTCCTCCCTCCCTGACCCTCACTCCCATAGATAAATCTCTAAGTCCAGACAATTCTATCTCCAATAACTCTTGTCAAATTTATCCCCTCTTCTCCTTCTCTCCCTCCTTTTGCTCCCTGCCTGGGTTCATCATCTTTGACCTGTACTACTGCAACAGCCTCCTAACTGGTTATCTTACCTCTAGACTTGGTCCCCTCAAATTTACTCTCTATATTATTGCTAAATTCATCTTAAAACATTACCCAATTATTTCTCCTATCTTTCAATGCTTTCCAACCGTTTACTGGAAAATAACCAAACATCTTAGTCTCCATTAATGATCTGGATCCTACTTGCCCTGCCAGTCTCATCTCTTCCCCTTCAAATTCAAAGTTCCCTCTTTAATGAATTACTCAGTTCCCAGAAATCTTGCATGCTCTCTTAGAATTTTCCTTTTCTATGATAAACCTATTCTGAATAATCTTCAGTTTTCTACTCATCCATAGGAAAAAATCCAAAATTTTAAATTTAATTCACGTCAGATTCTGACCCTCCATCTTATCTCTTCTTCCCCAAATAAATCACCTTAAACTATTTTATTGCCACTTCTTCCACCCTCCACTCCAGTCAGAGCACTGTAGAAATTCAGAAGGAATGAGAGAAGCTGGCTGAGGTAGTCTGGGAAGACGCTTAGAAGCAGTGGAATTTGAGAAGACCAATGCTGAATGCTTCCCAAACCCTCTGCAACCTAGCTCTCACCTGTTTAGCTTCAACTTGAGCCGTTCTCTCCCTTACAGCTCCAGTTTAGTGAACTACACTCTTCTCATCTCCAAGCTCCACCCTCTCTTTGTCTTGCTGCCCATATCTCAATATTTCCTTTTCTTTCGTCAAGTCTCAGCTTACATATCATATGGAAGCTTCCCATCCATGAAGCTTCCCCTGACTCCATAAGACTATGCCTTTAGCGCATCCTCAACTTGAACCTGTCATAACATTTATCACACTGTGCTGTACTCGTCGGCCTCCTCCAGCAGAGCATCAGCTCCCTGAAGGCCGGGATTCTGCCTTGTTTAATGCCATGTCCTCAATGACAAATCATTGTCTGGTAGGTGCTCAATTAATACTAGCTAAATGTTTGATGAAGAAGTTAAATTTTCATAGGAAGGAAGGAAGGGGAAGAGTATTCCCATGAGAACAAGTCATGAGCAAAGGTGCTGAATACGACTGTGCAATGAGTGTCTTTTGTTTTGGAGAAGGGAGAAATTTAGGCTAGAATTTTTAATTTATTTAACCAATACTTATATAGCACTTCCTATGTGCTAGGCACTGTTCTGAAGATGATACAATTATTAACTGATATTGTTACAACAATTCTATGAGGTTGGTACTGTTATCTCCTGGAGGTGAAATGAAGTGAACTGTCCAAAGTCACAGCCAGTAAGTGGTGAAGCTGGGATTTTAATAAAGACAGTTTGGATCCAGAGTCTATGTTCTTAACCGCAACCTATTTCTGTTTCTGTCTTATCAGGAAGGTTTGGGTGCAAGAACAGTGGGAGAATAGGCAAAGATGACAAAGTCTGATGGGACTTAAATAATAATCTAAAAAGTCTTAGCCTTTATTCTGTGACTAAAAAGAAGCCATGAAAAGCTTTTATACAGAAGCATGTTTTAGGAAAAGTAGCAAATAATTTTACTGTTAAAAAAATAAAAAGATGAGCTGGCCCAGTAGCATAGTGGTTAAGTTCACATGCTCTGCTTCAGTGGCCTGGGGTTTGCAGGTTCGGATCCCGGGCACAGACCTACACACCACTCATCAAGCCATGCTGTCTGGGGCATTCCATATACAAAACAGAGGAAGACTGGCATAGATGTTAGCTTAAAAACAATTTTTTTTCAAGTAAAAAGAGGAAGATTGGCAACAGATGTTAGCTCAGGACCAAGCTTCCTCACCAAAATAATAATAATAATAAGAATGATGATAATAATAATAATAGCTAATAACACTATAAGGAAGGAACCAGACAAATCCAAAAGGTGAGTTATTCTGCAGAACAACTGAAATCAGTGGCATAAAATGTACTGGAGAGATTAAAAGACTCAAGGGACATAGCAGTCTGATACAATTAATTTGTATTCCTGAACTGGATACAGTTAGGACTAACCAGCTATAAATGACATTTTTGGATCAAGTGAAGAAATGTGAATGTACCTGGGATTAGAAAAGACGAAAATTTACA